GAATGAACTGAAACTAACTGAATCAAGTTAATATATACTGAGATGACGCCGGAATATAGTTGTTATGTGCAAAATGCGAGCAGTGTTCGTGAATCGTATAATTTTAAAGCTGCTTTGTGAAATTTGAGGTAACTGAAATATCTCTTTCTACAGAACAATGTCCATATTTCTCCTATTAATGCTTCACCTACTCTTCTCTCCTGCTCACAGTGGTAAGTATCATATAAAGTTATTACTGTCTTCAATGATCAATTTCTTACTTGTAGTTGTAAGAATGTATTAGTAACGCAGATTAACAATGCCAATTATAGTTATATTAAACGGATTGTATTTATAGGTACTAGACTGTATAAGTAATATGTGTTGTTGCAGCTAAGAGAGAAAGGACCTTTACTGATAGTTGAAATTCGACATATGACGTCATCTAGCGTCATCTAGCGTCATCTAGCGTGAAATATCGCCAGATGATGATAGATGACGCTAGATGACGCTAGATGACGCTAGATGACGCCAATTAGCGACATTGTCGCTAAGTGCACGGCACCTTTCGAATGTCGCTATCTAGCGCTATCTAGCGCTATATGACGCTATATGACGCTATATGACGCTAGATGACGCTAGATGACGCTAGATGACGCTAAGCACGCAGCACTGACGCCAGGCGACAGATAGCGCTATTTTCATAAAATTTCTGCCCTTTTTTTTGCGACATCTAGCGGTATCTAGCGCTATCTAACGCTATATGTCGCAACGACATCTGACGCAGCGCTATCTAGTGCTATCTAGCGCTATCTGGCGCTATCTAGCGGAGAATGTCGGTTTGTGACAGTTTACGCTAGATAGCGCTAGATAGCGCTATCTAGCGCTAGATATCGCGGCGACAGCTAGCGCTAGATAGCGCTATCTAGCGTAAACTGTCACAAACCGACATTCTCCGCTAGATAACGCTTGTTAGCGCTAGATAGCGCTATCTAGCGGAGAATATCGGTTTGTGACAGTTAACGCTAGATAGCGCTAGATAGCGCTATCTAGCGCTAGATATCGCGGCGACAGCTATAGCTATGGCTATAGTTGTTAAACGTTAAATATCTAACGTTGGTTATAAGTTTTATTTTTAACGTTGCAAAACGTTTATTATTTGACGTCAGATCAAGGTTACCTTATTAACTATAAGCAGAGTTTAAAATTCAACTACATTTTAAAGTTGTATGTAGGTTACATATAAAACGTTGTTAAACGTTAAATATCTAACGTTGGTTATAGGTTTTATTTTTAACGTTGCAAAACGTTTATTATTTGACGTCAGATCAAGGTTACCTTATTAACTATAAGCAGGGTTTAAAATTCAACTACATTTTAAAGTTGTATGTAGGTTACATATAAAACGTTGTTAAACGTTAAATATCTAACTTTGGTTATAGGTTTCATTTTTAACGTTGCAAAACGTTTATTATTTTACGTTAGATCAAGGTTACCTTATCAACTATAAGCAACGTTCAAAACTCAACTAAATTTTAACGTTGTATGTAGGTTACATATAAAAACTTTGCCGGCTGGTATAGGCTTAGACAAATATTTTGAGAAAAAGCGGCGCGTGATAGTAAATTACGAGTATCACCCGTTGACGAGTGAGATTCGTCCAGTATAACCTGTTTATGCTCTAACCATAGCCCTCTCGCTAGTAGTACGGCAGTACGCTTAGACACATGGCTATGTGAAAGAAGATGATGTAAAGATCTAAATGTTAAATTAGCATTTGCAAATTAATAGTATTGAAATCTCGCACAGCAAGTTATTAAAAGAATGTAATGAGAGTCGAGCCGAATTTATTGTTCAGTAATCACATATATCGTACCCACGAGTTTTCAGTTTACGAACTACGCGCAAGTGTGAAGTGCAAGCGCGAAAGCTTTAGTGCAATTTAGCTACGAAAATACCAAAACCCTTAAAATGCGATGCATTCAGTATTTAGAATTAATATATTATAAATTTATAAGTTATGTCAATCCTCTTACCTGGGGACCCAGGCTATTATGTACATGTTCATAAACATTAAGATTTGGCGAATAAAGATTTGGCGGAATGACAGGCTGAGCGCGGCCCAGTAACAATCCTCGGGATCGGAATTATTTTGGATAAATACTTTACAGCTTTGAGCTTCGAGTAATCTATTTGACGATGTTTGTTGTATGTTGTAGCGCGATGCACTACTGGGCCGCGCCGCGCAGCCAATAATATAATGCTTCTTGCAACCACTAGTGCTTTACTAAACATACTTAGTACGTGCCGCTTTCTTCCGATCCCGAAATGTTAAGGGTCGACGGTCGTTTACATATTAGTATTACGTAATCAGCTGAGGAGGTTGGGGTTTTCAAATGATTATTGATTACGCTAGTGTAATATTATATTGACATAAATATAATAGCTATGGTAAAACTGATTACGGGGTATGTGAACGACCCCTCATTGTTAGTAATACATAGCTATTAAGCTATTAGTATTATGTCACAATCACACTAGCGACCGTAATAATTTGGAAAACCCCGGCCGGCGGCATCAGGCCCTTTATATAATTATAATATGTAAACGACCCCTTGATTAAGTGATATTTAATATTTTGTTCCACTCAGCCGAATATTTGATAAATCGAGTGTAATAGTTGGGTGACTTCGACGAGCCGCGCAAGCTTATAGTTATATCATTTGCATTCTCACTTAAATTATAATTAATTTTCATACACAGTAAAAATTAATTTTCATATAAAATAAAAATAACAAAAAAGATTGGGTGGGAAAAGACAGGCTGCTCTTACGGTCCCAGTAAAACACACACACACACACACACACACCCCCCCACACACACACACACACACACACACACACACACACACACACACACACACACACACACACACACACACACACACACACACACACACACACACACACACACACACACACACACACACACACACACACACACACACACACACACACACACACACACACACACACACACACACACACACACACACACCCACACACACACACACACACACACACACACACACACACACACACACACACACACACACACACACACACACACACACACACACCCACACACACACACACACACACACACACACACACACACACACACACACACACACACACACACACACACACACACACACACACACACACACACACACACACACACACACACACACACACACACACACACACACACACACACACACACACACACACACACACACACACACACACACACAGAGTTAGGATTACTGTTACTGTGATAGGATATGATATCTTGTGCTATATGTAGCGACGACATCTGACGCAGCGACATATAGCGCTAGATAGCGACATCTAGCGCTAAATAGCCTGGACTGTCACGACCCAAAATTCTTCGCTATTTAGCGCTATCTAACGCTATTTAGCGCTATCTAACGCTATCTAGCGCTATATGTCGCAACGACATCTGACGCTATATAGCGCTATCTGGCGCTAGATAGCGTGAACTGTCGTAAACTGACTTATCCCGCTATCCAGCGCTTGATGTCGCCTGCGTCAGATGTCGTCGCGACAGATGTCGTCAGATGACGTCAGATATCGCTAGATGGCGTCAGATAGCGTCAGATGTCGCGGCAACATATGACGCTAGATGACGCTAGATGTCGTCCCTAGAATTTTTATAAAAATAGCGCTATCTGTCGCCTGGCGTCAGTGCTGCGTGCTTAGCGTCATCTAGCGTCATCTAGCGTCATCTAGCGTCATATAGCGTCATATAGCGTCATATAGCGCTAGATAGCGCTAGATAGCGCTAGATAGCGCTAGATAGCGACATTCGAAAGGTGCCGTGCACTTAGCGACAATGTCGCTAATTAGCGTCATCTAGCGTCATCTAGCGTCATCTAGCGTCATCTAGCGTCATCTATCATCATCTGGCGATATTTCACGCTAGATGACGCTAGATGACGCTAGATGACGTCATATGTCGAATTTCAACTATCAGTAAAGGTCCGAGAGAAAGACTGGATGGTGAGATAGTGCAAGTCAGTGCTAAACATTCCAGCACTTTCAATGGTGACGACTGGAGCTATGGTGTTCATTGGAGTATAGACCTTCTCCTGAATACACAAGATTAAACAAGCGCATAGCTACGGCTAGCGCTTATTTTGATTTATACTAACAAGCTAGTTAACGAATTTATGACATCTATTTCTAACTTAGCTCTGCAAATACATTATCTTTTGCCGCAAATTGACCGCGATTTTGCCTAGTTTGACTTGTCGCGACGCCCTGATTTTTTGGCCTAAATAATCGCGATTTTCTTTTGTCCTTGGTGGTTGTGGAGTTTGGAGCTTCCGCCGCGAGATTTGTTGCGCCAAAACTAAAGGTCGTAGAGACATGAGACTTCGACTAAATTTGAGTATCACAGTTTCAGAGCTCTAAACACATTCCTTCATCCTTAAAACAACAATCATATGGATTTTGCCTGTAAAAGTGGAACAGATCCTTTAAAATCATTTAAAGAAGTCAGCAGGTTATAATCTAGGTACCCTGGTTTTCGAATCGCCATGCCTTCACAAGCAAGCTTTCTAATCTTCGTTGCCAGAGGAATATTTTCGTCAAACTAGGATTTAAATGAGGTTCTTATTTCTTCATAACTCGTCACTGATAGGGTCACCGATCACTGTTAATAAGGTCTGATGACCTTAACATCAGTTTATGTTTAAGAATAAAATAAAATCAATATCAAACAAAATTTACACATAAAATCTAATAAAGCTTCTTAAGATCGTCCTTGGTTTCCAGTCCTTCATATATCCAGACCCGATAGATAACTTATTAGTTATTTCCTTCGATCTTTTTGCATTCGACAATTGTAGGGGAAAAATTGGTTTCTATAATTTAAACTTGAAGCTAACTGAAAATAATTCCTTCTGAAGAAAAATGTCGATATTTCTCCTATTAATGCTTCACCTAATTTTCTCTCCTGCTCACTGTGGTAAGTATCATATAAAGTTATTGCTGTCTTCAATTATCAATTTCTTACTTGTAAGAATGTATTAGTAACGAAATTTAGCAATGCCAATTATTATAGTTATATGGATTATATTGATACATTTTTTCAATACATCTTGTATAAACCTTTGCATGTAACATCAACTTAGGTGTTCGTAGTATAGCTACTTAAAAATCTAAATAAGTTGTATTTAAAGGTACTGTATAAGTAATATATTGTGTTGTTGCAGCTAAGAGAAAAAGACTGGATGGTGAAATAATCCCAGTCAGTGCTGCACAGTCCCGAACTAGAGAGGAGAAGGAAGGTGCTCACCGTGCTATAGACCTAGACCAGGAGACTTACTCCTACACAGTACCTGGTTCTGACGGTAAAAGCTGGTTAAAGATAACACTAGACCAGGTTTATTGTGTGGAAAAAGTGATAATACTTAAAGAAAATGGTGATCCTTACCGCACCTGGACCTGCTCTTTTAAAGACTGTAGTACCTGTGAGGGTAAGTACTGTGGCTTTTCATACACTCTCACAGTGTACACAGAGGGAGCAGCACCTGATAACCTATCACCTGAATCCAGCTGCAAATACGGAGATACGGTGAAGCTAGAGGCGATTGCTGCTAATAGCTTTAAATTGTACGAGATAGTGATAATCGGGAAACAAGGTGAGACAACTTATTATAAAACTTACTATATATTGGCAGGTAGGATATTTACACTATTTTCTATATAGTGAAATATGTGTGAAAACACACCATGAAGTGGGGATATTATTCATTTGCCGTTTAGTAAATTATCAAATAAACGTTAATGTAGTTCAACATAAAATTAAACGTGTAATTATAATAAGCACTGTTTCAATAATTGTGTACATTAGAATAATTACCTTACCGCAGACTTTATTTTAACGGGCATCTATTTATATTATTTCTTAATGACATTACAAGGGGTTTATCACCAGGAACAGATATATAATTATAAACCATGCATGCTGACGATACAAAAATATGGCGCGGAATTAAGTCCCAGGATGGCTATTGGCTGCTTCAGCAGTATATTAACAGTCTTCAAAATTGGGCACACCATAATAAGATAGTGTTTCACCCCTCAAAAAGTCACGTTCTTTCTAATACCAGAGCATATTTTATGAATCGTAGTGTTAATTTGGTGTACAGATAAGTAAGTGTCAAACAATACGGTGAACTTTTTAACATATAGTTATCATTAAGGTTTGAATCTGTACCACTTCTTGACGGTAAGATCAATAAAAGTATGTTAGGATCAAACTTTCATTGCGAAAATATAATCTTTTTGCTTCATTTTTTCAGCTGTTGTAGTATGTGAAGCTGGAAACTTCAGTAATGGATCTGCAACCTGTTCCAAATGCGAAGCTGGGAAATATAGTGCTGCGGGATCTACAACCTGTTCTGAATGCGAAGCAGGGAAATATAGTGCTGCGGGATCTGCAACCTGTTCTGAATGCGAAGCTGGGAAATATAGTGCTGCTGGATCTGCAACCTGTTCTGAATGCGAAGCTGGGAAATATAGTGCTGGTGGATCTGCAACCTGTTCTGAATGCGAAGCTGGGAAATATAGTGCTGGTGGATCTGCAACCTGTTCTGAATGCGAAGCTGGGAAATATAGTGCTGCGGGATTTGCAACCTGTTCTGAATGCGAAGCTGGGAAATTTAGTGCTGCTGGATCTGATTCTTGCAGCACTTGCAGGATAGGAAAAGACACTAACTCTGATAAAACCAATTGTGGTGAGTATTGGGATTTGAACTGTCACCTAATAGTTGTTACTTGTTTATATGATTTTATCGATCAATATCAAATCAGAACTTGAAAGGTAACGTCCAGATTTAATGATTAAATGTAATATTACTCAGTTACAAGAGCCATTCATAATCAGGGTAATGATTTATTTTACAATAAAAATTGAACCAACTGCAGGCAACTGCCTTATTGTTGATAACCTTTTTAGTGTCCTGTCCGGCGGGTACCTACAAAGACAGTTCTATGGCAGAGTGTCAACAATGTCCTCTTAACACATACAGTACAGAGAGTTCAGGATTGTGTACTGCTTGTCCTCAAGGATCTCAAGCAAACGAAAATCGAACAAAATGCAGTAAATCTGTTGTTTTATCATATTTTTCGAAGCTTTGCAATGCTTTTTGTAGCTATATTGCCCGCACTATGGTTTTGGCAGGTAGATGTAGGACTTAAGAAGTAAATTAAGTGTCAGACTGTCAGGGGGTCTTCCGCGAAACGATCTTTCAACTTACACAAACATCATCAAAAAATACTTATATTTGAACCGATAAACTCAATTTGATTGTACCACAATATCAATTAAATTAAATGATGTAATCCATTTTCAGTTTCATGTGAGAGCTTGCCCTCAAGCTGGGGACAGATAATGACAGAGTCACAGTTCCCCCTCGCACCTGGGAGTGAAGTGTCCTTGATGTGTAGCACCGGACACACTTTGACTGGAGCCAGCACTGTCACGTGTATTGAGGAAGACGATTTCTCCTTCAACGAAGAGCCTTCTTGTGTGCTAGGTTTGAACATCCAATGTATAAAATATGCGATTTATTCTCGACAAATTTGTAATTTGTTATTTGACCGAGCACATTATAATTAATAAAACTAAAAACTGTTTCTATATACTGTTTGCTCATTTAAAGCGTTGTTTCGTTTATCTTTATTAATTAAAGTTACTTTTAAACACAATAGTTTTCGCACATAAGTGGGCTGGTTTTAATAATGTTTTTTCTTTCCCTTCTGTTGCCTAATTCATTTCAATCGTCGAACCTTGACTTCTAGCTTAGCAAACAATATTTACACACAGACGAATGCAGAAAACTGCCGAACATCCAGAACCTAGGAACAACCACCCAATTTCCTGTTCCCTACGATACCCGGGTAACAGTGCATTGTGATGCTGGGTACTCTCTTGTAGGTGGTGTCATCATCTCATGTATCCAGGACGATAGCTATCAAAGTTTTGATGGAAAACTTCCTTCTTGCGAAGAAAGTGAGTTTATCATTGTAACCTCTATCATTAACGGTTTTTATGGTTTTAGAGCTGAATATGAAAAAAATTGTTATTTTGCAACGTAAATGACACAATAGCACAATATAAGAATATAACTGTGTAGTGTCGACCTACTGCATTATTATAGAAATTGTCTTAACAACCAGAGTACTGCTCCGGTGTACCTCCTGATATTTCACATCTAAAGTCGAGCACGATTTTCCCTGTGAGTTACGGGATAGTTGTGTCAGTGAGCTGTTCGGAAGACAAAGAATTAAGGGGCGACGAAATGATCACCTGTAACCAGGGTGTGCATTTCGATTTCCAGGAAAAACCTAAGTGCAACGATGGCGGTAAGTATGATCTTGAAGTGACATCAACATTTTATAAATTTGTTGTTTTAACCGGTTAGAAATTAAAACCCTTTCCGCAAAAATAGTTCACTCAAAAGTAAAAGTTATACGTGTACACGTTTAGTATTTGTTTAATATAAGCAAAAAAACAATTCGTATAAGAAGACTGGATGTAGCATTAGATTCTACAGGAACTTGTACGGAGTTGCCGATAGGAGGACACTTAAAAACAGACTCTGTATTCCCGGTGAAGAAAGGAGCTGAGATATTCGTGAACTGTGTTGAGGGGTTCACCCTCACTTCAGGAGACAGAACGATAACCTGTGTACAAGACGCTGACTACACCTCATCGACTCAACTTCCCACTTGTATCATCGGTAAGAATTTGTTTTTCAAAAGGTTGAATTCATAGTGATGCTTGCACTATCAAACTGACTTTAATTGTATAATGTTATAACAAGAATTGTTGACATGAATCTGAATTCCTAAAATCATCATACAATATACATACTAAGAAAGACTATGATAAATCAGACTCTATGCTTCTATATATAGAAGCATAGAGTCTGATTTATCATAGTCTTAATATTTATACATAAATATTAAGGTTTTTTTTCAGAAAAGTGCACAAAATTGCCGAATATCTTTGACTTGAAGACCAGCACCTCACTTCCAGTGGACCACGGAACAATAGTGGAAATGGACTGTATCCCGGGGTACAGTCTGTCAGGGAGCAGACTCATCACCTGTATTAAGGACAACAACTGGGGTTTCTTGGATTCCCCTCAGTGTATTTTAGGTAGGTTTTTGTAGTACTCTCAAAGAAGAATTATGATTAAAGAATTGAGACACTGCAGCAGTGACATGAGAGTTACATTGTGAGAAAGAGCAATTTAAGAGCACTTATTATATCCAAAATGATATTGTCATCATTGGTACGGGTGATATCAGGAAAACAAAAAATTGGTTGAATTGAATAAATGTTTCCATATTCACCTGAAATTCGTTACTCACTATCCCTGATTTATAATATCGTAGCCACAAACTAATACCCAATCATCTCAGATACGTGTACAGAACTACCAGCAGCTGTTTCAGACATGACAACAACCAGCACCTTCCCCGTGATAGTAGGAACTGTGGTGGAGGTGAACTGTAAGCCGGGTCACACTCTCGCCGGAGACAACAGCATCACTTGTATCAGAGATTTTTCCTTCACCATCGGTCAACGTCCTACCTGCACCATAGGTTTGAAAATCATTAATTAAAAAATGTAGTCCCACCTATGAGATCAGAATAATGAAGAAATGTATATAATAAGTTGAAGATACTAAAATTTAATCTTAATCTGCAGATCGCTGCACCGGTATGATGATTGAAAATTACCTTTCAACTGACGCTACATTTCCTATCACATACGGAACTGCTATCACAGTAGTCTGTGATCCTGAGTACTCGCTGACGGGCAGTAAAGTGATAACATGTGAGAAAGGGATTGTATACTCTCACCAGTCTTCACGTCCTAAATGTGTTAACTCAGGTGAATGAACCAATAGATTAGCTGATATTATCGTATCGTATTGAATGATTTAATAGTTTCATTTTAATGATAGGTTGATCATAAATATGAAAAAGAGTAACCTGGCTCATTATCACTCACAATCACTCATCATTTCCACATTCCTGTCTCATTGTTGGAATGTGGTGATAATGTTATAACATTGTTGTCTCTTATATCGACGACCAGTCCAATTGATGTGCTTGTTTGTTATTATGTAATGTTATTCAAGTCTCTCCAGGATATTAACTTCAGAGTTAAACTTTTCCTTAAAGACAGATATCTTGTAATGAAGCAGGTACAATCCATAATCGACTTTGTTCGAGGGATAATTATATTTTACTTTTTACTATCGTGTTTGATTAAAGTGGATCGATTGTGCATGTGCATTATACTTGTCAAAATCTTTCAATACCAACTTATCGTTGATCGAACAGACCAAACCAGAAAAGTGCAAATTGTCCATAGACTAATTTATGAGGTTATTTGTATCGAGTTGAACGAAAGGATTTTTTAATGTTATTCAATGAGATAATTTTTCTAATTGCAGTTTTATAACTTCTGGATGCAGTCAAGAAAGAAAATATTAAAACCTCGGAGCGATTCAACTGACTGAAGTATTTTTATCTGTTTGGATATTAAAATTATGTTCAATGTGTAAGAAAAATAGGTTTGTACTGCGATTTCAAGATCTCGTCATTTATATTAATCCCTCATTCAGTGGAAGAAAATGTGAGCTAAGGAGAAGAAAAGGATTGTGACTATCAGCAACCTATGGACTACCGCAACTTCTTCGGAACTAGAAACGAAAAGCGTATCTGATCAGTGATATCATACATATAAGTGAGCGATCATCGTCATGTCAAATTAATTACATCTGAGTTTGCATTTGCATTTCAAATATAAAACCACCATAATTTTCATTCAAAGTTTCAATGAAAGTTTTTATTGATATTAGGAACCGACCGGATTGGGGTTTTGGCTGCCGGACCGGATTCAGCCGGATTTGGATCTCAAATCCGGCAAGCCGGATTTTGGCGGACCGGAACCGGTGGTTTCAGAGTGAAATAAAAGGCAGCCGGATTTTGCCGGATTTTGCCGGTTTTTGCCGGATGTTGCCGGAAAATTTCCTTCCTTTCCACGCCTAATCTTCATCGAGCACTTCTTGCAGCTTGCATAAGGGATCCCATTTTCTTCTGAGTAGAACAACCAGACGGACGATGTTTTAGATTTACTACTACTCGACTCGACTTAGGGCGGCTTCAACGTCCGAACAGATATAGTTTTTTTACAAATCTTCCTATCTACTACTAGACATTGCTTAAACAAGCAGTACGTATCAGACACAATGTAACACGAGTAGACACGAGTCACGACACTAGACAAGTAATAATCAGAAATGATATCTAATTGGCATATGCTGCCAGACCCCTGATTGAGCGCGTTTGTGCGAATTTCCTTTTTTTATGCAAGTCTGAGTATCATTGGGTCACGTGACTTACAACCAGAGGTGCTTAGCAAGGTTGTTCGTAAGCAGGCACTGTCTAGTACAGTACTAATCACCGTCTGGTGTCTAGAGCTGAGTCACATGATTGCAGTAATGAGCTAATTAAGTAGCTACCCAGACCCTGAACACGTGACCTTCATATTTCGTATTTCATAATCAGAAGATTAAATACTGCCAATTTTGCGATTATAGCCGGGGGCTAGCCCAGGGAGGTGGCCCAAAATATTTTCCGGTTTTTTCTAAGTCCGCACCTACCCCTCGATACACTATTCTGTATTCTGGACTCAAGGTTTCCCCCGGTAATGCGATCTCGGAAGGCAGGCCTCCCCTTTGCAACACGAGCTCGGAAGCGGGAGCTCTCGATACAGGAGGTACGTCTCGAGAACGACTCGGACCGAAAACTTTTAAGTTAAAATTTTTCGAAGTTTTTCTGAAGGATGATAATTAATCACTCTACACTCGACTGTCACGTGACATACCTTATATGTAGTTATATATAACTACATATAAGGTATAACACAAGTGGCACTGATGCAGATGAATCATGGATAATTATTGACTGTTGACGAAAACTCGAAGTTTGAAATCCAAAGTATAAAGCTGCATGTAGTAGAAACGTAATCGGGAAATCAGGATTAAATATGATCACACGTAACGCGCGGATATAACATGTGCTTTATCCAATGCGAAACTAAAAGTGATGAAAATAAAAAATCGACTGTAGAGTGATTTAGCGCGACCGTTTTCTGAAAACCACTTTTTTCCACGATTCAGGCTACCCTGTTCATTATTAGCCGAAAATATTTTTTCGGTTTTTCGAAGTCCCCACCTACCCCTCGATACACAATTCTGGACTCGAGGTTTCCCCTGGTAATGTGATCTCGAAAGGCAGGCCTCCCCTTTGCAATACGAGCTCGGAAGCGGGAGCTCTCGATACAGGAGGTACGTCTCGAGAACGACTCGGACCGAAAACTTTTAAGTTAAAATTTTTCGAAGTTTTTCTGAAAACCACTTTTTTCCAGAATTCAGGCTACCCTGTTCATTATTAGCCGAAAATATTTTTTCGGTTTTTCGAAGTCCCCACCTACCCCTCGATACACAATTCTGGACTCGAGGTTTCCCCTGGTAATGTGATCTCGAAAGGCAGGCCTCCCCTTTGCAATACGAGCTCGGAAGCGGGAGCTCTCGATACAGGAGGTACGTCTCGAGAACGACTCGGACCGAAAACTTTTAAGTTAAAATTTTTCGAAGTTTTTCTGAAAACCACTTTTTTCCACGATTCAGGCTACCCTGTTCATTATTAGCCGAAAATATTTTTTCGGTTTTTCGAAGTCCCCACCTACCCCTCGATACACAATTCTGGACTCGAGGTTTCCCCTGGTAATGTGATCTCGAAAGGCAGGCCTCCCCTTTGCAATACGAGCTCGGAAGCGGGAGCTCTCGATACAGGAGGTACGTCTCGAGAACGACTCGGACCGAAAAACTTCTAAGTCAAAATTTTTCAAAGTTTTTCTGAAAACCACTTTTTTCCACGATTCAGGCTACCCTGTTCATTATTAGCCGAAAATATTTTTTCGGTTTTTCGAAGTCCCCACCTACCCCTCGATACACAATTCTGGACTCGAGGTTTCCCCTGGTAATGTGATCTCGAAAGGCAGGCCTCCCCTTTGCAATACGAGCTCGGAAGCGGGAGCTCTCGATACAGGAGGTACGTCTCGAGAACGACTCGGACCGAAAAACTTCTAAGTCAAAATTTTTCAAAGTTTTTCTGAAAACCACTTTTTTCCACGATTCAGGCTACTCTGTTCATTATTAGCCGAAAATATTTTTTCGGTTTTTCGAAGTCCGCACCTACCCATCGATACACAATTCTGGACTCGAGGTTTCCCCCGGTAATGTGATCTTGGAAGGCAGGCCTCCCCTTTGCAACACGAGCTCGGAAGCGGGAGCTCTCGATACAGGAGGTACGTCTCGAGAACGACTCGGACCGAAAAACTTCTAAGTCAAAATTTAAAAAAAGTTTTTCTGAAAACCACTTTTTTCCACGATTCAGGCTACCCTGTTCATTATTAGCCGAAAATATTTTTTCGGTTTTTCGAAGTCCGCACCTACCCATCGATACACAATTCTGGACTCGAGGTTTCGCCCGGTAATGTGATCTTGGAAGGCAGGCCTCCCCTTTGCAACACGAGCTCGGAAGCGGGAGCTTTCGATACAGGAGGTACGTCTCGAGAACGACTCGGACCGAAAAACTTCTAAGTCAAAATTTAAAAAAAGTTTTTCTGAAAACCACTTTTTTCCACGATTCAGGCTACCCTGTTCATTATTAGCCGAAAATATTTTTTTGATTCTTTTTCGGTAAAAAAAACTGAAACCCGGCAAAAATCCGGCAAATTTTTTTCCAGCCGGAGCCGGAACCGGAACCGGATTTTGAAGCCGGATATCCGGCCGGAACCGGATTCAGCCGGATTTCCGGTCGGTTCCTAATTGATATTAAATATATAGGTTTAGTTGAAAACATATAAATTCTGTATACTCCCTGGTACTATCACTTAATTATTTAAACGATACAAATTATCATGGTACAATCTATAAATCACTTCTAATTTCAGAGTCTTTTTCACTGATGGGAGACGAATGATAATATCACATCCGTCATATAACACGCTTATAAGGTACGTACTTTATTCATTAAACATTTGGATTATTTAGATCAAAGAATTGTTATATTGTTTATATTTTCCAGTTCAACAAGATTTCTAACAAGCTCAGCTGTTAGTATTTTACATACTCATGTTACCACCGTTAGAAATTTCAAACAAATATCATCACTCAGACATCCTAGGTAACAGCATCACCTAACGATGAGAAGAAAGTTTGTAAGAGACCAAGACGAATCTGCCCTCCTCCGGGAATATTGAGCACAGAATAAGAGGTTAAAAGGTAATATTATAGATTTTATAGCCGTCTTTCTAGTGACTCCCTGTTCAATTGATTCTTATAAAAACCAGAAGTTTAATATCAGCTATTGAACTTAACTACTGACATAATAGTAAGATGATATTGAGAGGTGTTTTGTTTATTCCTTTCACACAAGCTACTATTTTTATAGTACTAGTATAACTGTTGCTGTATGATAGAATTTTAGGTCGGTTAATCCGGGTCGGCTGTAAGATGTCTTGTGAGTGCAAGAGCTTCTAGGATTAGATATATTCAGTTATTCAGTTATTCAGTTATTCAGTTATTCAGTATCTGCTTATTGAACCTTTATCTTGACTTAGCTGTAGAGGAGAGGGACTAAATTCTGACCTTGTCTAAACTATCCTGGACAGGGAATATTAACGGTTAATTTACTATCATCTCAGTCTTCTTAGTGTACGTGAAAGAGTCTGGGATTAGATATATTATTCAGTTATTCAGTTATTCAGTATCTACCTATTGAACCTTTATCTTGACTAAGCTGTAGAGGGGAGGG